GGGATTTGAACCCAGGGCCTCACACATGCTATGCACACAAGCTATACCCCCAGACCTAGTTTGCATACTTTGATCAGACTATGAAAGAAGGCTGATAAAACTCTCTGATTGTAGAGGCAAGATAAATATATAGAACTTTCTTAAAGGCTTGCATTTTTTTGTTGTTGTTGTTACCGGGGATCGAACTCAGGACCTTGCGCTTTCGAGGCAGGCGGCAGAACCACTGAGCTCAATCCCTGGCCCAAGCCTTGTATTTTGAGAATTATGTTTTCAGTCTTTGGAAAACAGAAGAACTGCTTTTTACTTGGACAGCAGGTTGTTGATCACTTTGAACTTGGCTCATAGCTGACTGTGCGGGTGGAGCAGACTGTGAGCTGTTATCCGTGTGTGGATGTGCCCAGAACCCTGTCTCGGACTGGAAAGCCCCTTGAGCACACAGTCCAGTAACCATAAATCAGTTCTGCCTGCTCAGCAATCTAAGTCTACTTTTTAGTAAAATAAAGGGAAAATTAATGAATGAATTCACTTATTCTGGGTTGTTAATTGATGTTGTAGAAGAGAATTTCTCCAAGTGCGTCCCTAGGAACACCAATCTCTAGAGCCTTCTCTAAATCCTGCTGTCAAAGGTGTCCGGGCAGGACCTTGGGAATGCACCTCCATGTGCGACAGCTCCTCCTGGGCATGAGCCTTGGCATTTCTTTTCCTTCATGACATTTCTCATGGACCATGTGGCCTCAGGTGGCCTCATATGATCTCATGTGTCCTGTGATCATGCTAGCTCATGGCTTGGGAAGACACTTTCTTCCTGCTGATCTTATTGATGAAATAGACATTAACAATTATGTCCCATTTTTGTAAATGTACCTTGTGGTTCTCTTGGGTACCAAGTCTGAAAGAATGGACTGCGTCCTTCAGAGGAGATATTGGAGAGTTATAAAAATTTTCAACAATATTAATATTTTCTATTTCTAGAATATTGTGGAATGAATATATGAACTGTGAAGAGTTTAATTTTCAGGGCTTCTGAAGGTAGAATTTACTTTTCCTTTCTTTTTTGTCTGTTATTCATTCATTCATTTTGTGATACTGGAGACTGAACCCAGAGGGCCTCTACTGCTGAGCTACATCTCTGAGAATTTTTGTTTCTAATTTTGAGACGGGATCTCACTAAGTTTCTCAGGCTGCCCTCCAAATTGTGATCCTCCTGCCTTAGCCTCTCAAGTTCCTGGAATTACAAGCATGTACCACCACACCTGGCTCTTTTTAAATTCTGTTCTTTGTAAGCACCAAAGTCTCTGATGAGCTACTTAAGTGGCTTGGAAAAAAAATGAATGTAGACACTAACTGTGATAAAATACTATTTTATAGACATGTTGTGTAATTATAGTTTTTGGAGGAAACTTTCAAAAAATTCAGTTTTTTTGAAGTGATTTTCTGAGGGATAGGTAGACTAATGGCCCCCAAGGATGTCCATGTCCCAGTCCCCAGAACCTGTGAATATGTTACCTTGCATGCTAAAAGAAGTTTTGCAGCAGTGATTAAACTCTAGCTCTTGAGATGAGGAGATCATCCTGGATTATCTGGCCTGAGGGTAATCACAAGAGCCCTTATAAGAGGCAAGCAGGAGGGCCACACTTAGTCAGGAGACAAACAGATCTCAGAGCCTTTGGGAACTGCAAGCCAGCCAATCATTTTAGACCTCTGGCTTCTAGAACTGTAGGATGATAAACATGTATGCTGTTTGAAGCCACTAAGTGGACAGTCATGTGTTGCAGCAGCAATGGGAAATTAATACACTGATGAGGGATTTCAGTCACTTGTGGGCTGAAGATGAGTGGCTGCTGTGTGCAGCTCCGGCGCCCAGCTCATCTGGACCTGACCTTCTGGAAGGACAGAGAGAATCTGATTTCAGAGAATGCTGATTGCTGCTGTGTGAGTAGGACCCTCCAAAAGACGACAGTAAGGAAAGGGCAGGAAGGTACAGATGAGACTCCTTTTCTTTGGGAGGTTGGTCCAAGAAGGCCTCATCAGGTGACGTTTGATCTGGCACCTGAATACAGAAAAGAAGCAGCTATCCTGAGCTCTGGGAGCAAAGGGTTTCCGGCAGGCAGGGGACACAGGAAGTGTCAAAATGCAGAGTGACCAGCACTGAGCCAGGAGGCAAGAGCTTCTCAGGATGTGGAACTCCTCTGTGCTATGACCCTGCCCACTCAGATTTAGAGTTTACGGGGCACAAAGACCTGGATTTTCTTACTCCCAACCCCAGAGGTGCTCAAGAGATTCTTTTCGTGCATTGTTCTCACCCAGGAGGGTTGAGGATGCATGTTGGAGGCATCAGTTAATAGAAAGGGCATCTGTCTGTCCTTCCTGACATCCTGTATGGTGGGGGACTCACAGCCTGTCCCCTGCTGCTTCCTTAGTAAACTTCGTTCCAGAACTCAGTAGGCAGCATCCTGAGCCAGCTTGATTCCCAGGGCCCTTCACACAGCCTGTGATGGAGCGAGGACCTTTCTACTCCCTCCCTTACATTGCAAACAGGTTTTTCAGTGTGGAGCTGGGCAGCCCTGGTCTGCAGCAGCAGGGCAAGGCCAGCCCTCCTGGGACCTCTGTGTGCCCAGTTTTTTGCAGGCAGAGAAGAGAGTATTTCTCTTGTTGGATCATTATGAATAAGCCATGCAGCCCCGAAATTGACAGGGCTATTTCTGCTCCCTCATAGCCCCCACCATCAGATAGTTGATGTGTATATTATTTTATCTGGATTTCTCAACAGAATAGCATTTCCAAAAGAGGACATTGCCAAAACATGGTGAAAACCTTCCCAGCCCCCCCCCCCACCTGTGCTTCCTGGAGACTCAGGACAGGGGCCTAAGGAACTGCTGTGGGAGTACTAGCTTTGCTCTGTCTTCCCTCCTGCATCTTTAAAAACATGCACCTACCTTGTCTGACTCTTAACATTTGTGAATTGCTTATAAATAAGCATTTTCTGTCTTGTAAAATGTTTTCTTTAATAGTCTTAATTCCTACTCAGGTACTGGCTTTTAAAGCCCTCATATCTCATGCCCCCCAGAATTAGAAGTGCCAGTGACCTTCTCTGTCCCCTTCCCCAGCTTGGTGGCCAGGTTAGGCCCCTGGACTCTGTAAAAGTATGCGGAGGTCCAAGCAGAGTCTGTAAGACCTTGTAATTATATGCGAAGTGGGGTCTTTTGGTTTTCATTTCTTTAATGAATAGAATATAGAATAAGGTAGTTACACTTAGTAATATCCATTCACCTAAAGAAAAGGGGGGTGTTAAATCATTGCGTTTTTTGATGAATGGCTTGTACGCCGAAAAATAAATTGGACAAACTGGCATAGAGCTCAGTGAACATGAAATCAGCTATTAGAAGAAAGCTTGTGAACAAATTCTGAGGCAGATATGCATCTTTTGATTAATGCCCTATCAATCATCCACACAGCTACCTTAGCTAAGTTTTGGTGTAATCATTCATGGTTGCTTTCGGAAAATGTGGCAGAAACTATAGCGCTGCAGAGTCAGAATATTATTACTGATTCTCCCTAACTTACTATGAACAATGACTGTTTTCAACCTTAGTTCTGCTTTCTTTTATTAAAGAAATACAATGCAGAATGAAAGAAGAGTTCCTCAAAGCCTGGTGGAATTTGCCTAGGGTATTCTTAATGATATTCAGTCTTAAATGGGCAAGCCATTGTACTGGAAGGTTCTCTGTAGGAATAATAGTAATATAACCCCATTGAAGCTGCCTTTTATGGATTGTAGTCAAATAGGCAGAAATGTAGAGCCACATTAATGAACAGAGTATATCTCTGGAATTATTACTTAAAGTTGTTGAAATAGTCTGAATTTTGTGCTTCTAATTATTTTATTCTCAGTTAATGGGCTTAAACAGCAATAGTAATTAACCCACCAGATTGAAAATTTGCCTGCGCTCTACCTTTGACATTAGGAAAAACTCTGATTCTTTCTGTGTATTACACAGCATGATAAGAAGCAATCTATGTATAATTTCTTTCACTGATATTTTTATTAAAAAGAAATTTCCATGAATGCAATTATTAGTTTTCCATGCATTTTAAGCCACTGGCAAAGTCGTCAAAAGCACGTCATTCTTTTAAAATCATTGGGTTCCTAGTCTGTGTTGCACAAAGAACAATTTGGTGCTGCCTACTACTTGGGAAATCTTCAGGTAATAGCAGTGCTTCCTCTGAACTTACTGTAGCCTGGGAAATACTGCAGCGTAATAAAGTGGTGACAGGCATTAGCATACATAATGGGCTGTAATAGACATTTAATGCTGTGGAGCTGGAGGGGGGAGCTGTGGTCTCCCATCGGGATATTCCTCCATCGAAGCCCATTGATCACTGATTTCAGTAGGGATAGGTTAATCCATCAGCTTCTGTAACCAGATGGCGCTGATGGAAATTCTTTAGGTGGCATTCTGGATGAACCAAGCTTTCCATCTTTACAAACAAATGAGTGATATGACAAGCATGGTGCTCAAAACACATTTAACCAATTGATTTTCCTTCTCCTTGTAATAAGATCTGGAGACATATGAAAGCCTGTGGTGTGAGCTAAGATTAAAGGAATTGTTTTGTGCCCGGGAACATGTGGAACTCAGAGCCCATAAAAGTACTATAAAGCATGTCGTCACCCATTCTCTTTCTTATATCAAGTTTGTTATTGCAATAAATAGTTATTATTGAGCTGATGCCTTTTACTTCCGCTTTGCAGAATCTTATCTCAGGTCTGTGGGTGTGTGTGCGCGCACACGGGTGGCTGTCCTCAGTAGTCATCTTACTCTTGGAAATTTTCAAGATGTTTGGATATAATTGTTTCTCCCTTCCCAGTTAAACAAACAGACCCAATATGATTTGGGTTGGTAACATTGTTGGTATAAAGCAGCAAATATTATATATCTTTGATAGTCTCTGAGATCAATGTAAGTGATGGTTGTTTATTTTTTATCTCCCACATACAGCCCTGCCTTGAGCTTCACCTATCCATCTGCACCTGTCTCTCTCCACATGCATCAACAGATCTTAAGCCGACAGCAAAGCTTAGGCTCAGCCTTTGGACACAGCCCTCCACTCATCCACCCAGCCCCAACTTTTCCAACACAGAGGCCTATTCCAGGGATCCCCACAGTTCTGAACCCCGTCCAAGTCAGCTCTGGCCCTTCCGAGTCTTCACAGGTGAGAAAGACAGCTCTGTGAGCTGGCTTGTCTTGGTCCACCAGGAAGGGCCTTGCCACCATATCTCCACTAGAACTACAGTACCTTGGTGTTCTCAGGGCTTCCTACTGGTATCCTGTCCTCCTGCACAAGGTCCATTCTTCAGTTCTGGTAAAATGTCCTGTGTCCGTGGCCATCATTAGACAAGAGCATCTTCCACCGGATCATTTTCTCACGGGTGGAAAACAGGCTTATGATCAGGCCTTATTGGGACCTGGCACCGTCTATAAACCACATATTCTGTAAAGACTGTGGATGATTGGGTCACTCTCATCAGGTTCCTGTCCACTCCCTCTGCTGGACCCAGGTTGCTACTGAGCATCATGCAAGACTCTAGAGTAAGAACGAAGCTGTGAAGCTGTGCCACTCCCTCTGTTCTCATTGCCACTCCAATATGTTTTAAACACAAATCTGGATGCTCTCACTAAAGAGTTCCACAAATGGTTCCTTGTGGCCTCACAATGAATGGGAGTACAGTGTTGGAGCCATTTAAAGCCTAGCGCCCCAGCTCTATTCTAGCTGTTAAAACCCTCAGAGAGTTTATTTATACTCATGAATGAAAAATGAGGAGCAGCCTCACGACTGTGTCCTCCAGCTCTGATCACATATCTCTGTTTCTAGGAGGTTGGGGCACTCTCAGTCGTTGCTGTATGGCCAAGTAAGCCTGATGTCTTGAGTTGCAGGTCTTCATTATGGTCCCATTCATTGATCAAAACCTAACTTTTGTCTTTGGCTGCACAGCAGAACAAGCCCACAAGTGAGTCTGCAGTGAGCAGCACTGGTGACCCAATGCACAACAAGCGATCCAAGATCAAGCCTGATGAAGACCTCCCCAGCCCAGGGGCACGGGGGCAGCAGGTAGGAACCCTCAGGCTGTGCAACCAGTGCTTCTACCCCTCCTTGGCTGGGGTCTCCTCACACTTCAAATTCTTTCACAGCATTTTCTCACCCATGGCCTTTTCAGCCCTGGCCATACCCAGTGTGATGGATGCAGGGCCATGGATAGAGTGACTATTGTTTCTCTAGCTCCGAAGCAAACAGGAACAATTTATGAAGCTGTTCGTGATGGTTTAGACCGCTTAGGAGTTTAGGCTGCTAGTTCATAGAGTTTGGCCCTAAGAGTCTGATCTGGCCCTAAGCTTAAACTGGAGCAGAGCAAGTAGTGTTCTGTACGCTGATCTTTTTTTTCTTTCTTTGCTATTTCTCACTTGTGTGGAGAGCTGGGAAGGATGGGGTGCAGTGAACCTAATGCTATTTAGGTTCTGGACTCAGCTGCTCACCTTTAGGATCTGTGCTCACCTGAAGAATGTGCACACAATGCCATCTCGTGAGTGCTCTGGGTATCTTGCTCCTGATACAGGAAGTGGCTCGGTGAATGTTAATTCTCCAAAATAGGTGCTAGACAAGTGTCTAGACAGCTGTGTAATCTCAACCTTGGATTCCACGAGACATCCATGGAATCTCATCCACGGCCTCAGCTCAGGTTGCTTCAGCCCAAACTTGAGGCTGCTTTAGCTAAAATTTCCTTTTCAGTGAAAACTGTAGCAATGGAATGAACTGGTAATATGGATTTGGAAATCCATCCTCCTTCTGAATTTTGCTTGAAAACCATCTTCCTGGTCTCACCTTAATGTGTAAATACAGTTTTGATCACCCGACCCTAGATTAGAACTCAAATCTATACACCTAATTATTTTCCAGAATTCTAGAAATTCTTGGTATTACATTGGTCCAAAGCTTCCATAGAAGACTAGAAAGGTGGGGTAGGGAGGGAAAGCACTTGGCTTAGCAAGCAGGGGCCCTGCATTCAATGACCAGCACTGCAAAACACAAACAGACAAAGAAAATCTGAAGAAGACTAGAAAGGACTATAGGACTATGCCCTGCAGCGTTAGAGGGTCCTGGGCCTCAGACCAGGAGTATTCTTGGAGACTGGAGGCTGAACCAGGAAGATAGTATCCCCAAGTAGTCTACAAAGTGCCTCCAACAGCAGGGAAAGCAGAATTGTTAGCACTCATGAATCATTTCTCTGAATTATAAATATAAGTATAGACAAATCAGTACACTGAAAAGTATTAAAACAACTAAACAAGTTAGAAGGACCTGTCTTTGGCCATATTTAGTTACTTCTTTTATGGGTTTTGTTTTTTGTTTGGGCTTTTTAAAAAGATCACATTTTAGTGTATTTTCAGCTTTATATTTATGGCAGCAAAGTTCAACTTTTTTTTTTTTTTAGTACCAGGGATCGAACTCAGAAACTTGCTCCTGCAAGGCAGGCGCCAGAACCACTGAGCTAAATCCCTGGTCCTAGTCTTCAGCTTTTTAATCATCATTACTACTTGGGTTTTTGCTTTGAATCACAGGTTTAAAAAAAATCTCAGAAGGCATGTTTGGGAAATCTGAAAATTGTTTGTTTTTTTTTTGCGGTGCCGGGGATCGAACTTTGGACCTTGCACTTGCACAGCAAGTGCCGGAACCACTGAGCTAAATCCCTGGCTGAAATCTGAAAATTGTACCCAGATGACTGCAGGTGCTTGCCTTCTTCCATTTACAAAACCCAGCTGGGTGACCTGAGCTCTGTTTTATTTTTGCTGAAAAACTGCATTAGGAGGAAGGCAAATCTAAATCAGGTTGCTACTTTCTCTTCTTCTCTTGCTTCCCAACATGCCTTATTTCCCCCCTCTGTATTCCTTTCCTCCACCCCCTGCCTCTCAGGAACAGCCGGAAGGAACAACCCTAGTCAAGGAGGAAGGGGAGAAAGATGAAAGCAAACAGGAGCCTGAAGTCATCTATGAGACAAACTGCCACTGGGAAGGCTGCACAAGGGAGTTCGACACCCAGGACCAGCTGGTGCATGTAAGTGACCGGCGCTCGGGGCCTTGGCATCAGCTGTGTGACCTTTTCTGTGGAGGTCAGCTTCTCTGACCCTGGCTGGGTCAGGTTTCTTCGCGAGCAGTACTGCAGACTAGAGAGCACTTTATGACTTTCTGAGCATAAAGAAAACTCTGAGCCACAGTGCTTGACCTGTTCAGTCAGCTAAAGCTTAGTGTAAAATTCAATAAAGTCTTCAATAGAGAGTGTAATGACTCTGATCCTGTAAGCCTATTTTGAGTTAGCGAAAACACTATTTTGAGTTAGCGACTTTGATGGTTACTGAGTAATAGTAAGCTGGACATGAATTATTATTAACCTTTTATCCAAGTTTGATTCCCCTTCCAAGACCCAGTAACAATACAAAAAATTGTAGGAATGAGGAGAGAGGTTCCTTTTTATTTTTTTCCTCCTACGAACAGTCCAAGGAATTTCCCATTATTCTATAGAGCAATTACTACTCTCTATAAAGTTATGTAGATACTTGGGGTAAACCATTACCATAATTTTTGATTTGAGGGCAACTCCCGTGGGATTAATAGCTTCATGGAAAAAAATGATATGTGTTTTTAGATGTGTTTAATGATGTACTTTTGAAAACCACTCGTTGGTCAGATTGAGAACCACACTTTCTTTTACCAAGCCTGGTCCGGCTGTCTTTCTCTAGCTGTCCTTTCTGTTGTTCCAGATAATACAAGTCACCCCCAGCCCTGCCTTACCTCTTAGCTGGTGCATTGTAGGTCCTGGTACTTTCTCCAAGGCCAGTGTAGTCTCCCTGGCTGGTAGAACCAAGGGAAGCTGGCACAGAAGGGCATTCAGTGCATCCAGAGTAAAAAGAGACAGGCTCAGACAACTTCTCTGCTGAGGTGCATGGTCCTATGAAAGCATTAAGGAAGGTTTCACCAAATAGGGCAGTTTCTTAAGCTTTTAATAGGATGGAAAATCTGTCAGAGCAGCCTTTGCTGTGATTGCCTGTCACACACATTCATTCCCCCTCTCTCTCTCTCCCTCTCTCTCCCTCTCTGTCATTGTCCATTCTTTTATAGTAATTTTGTATTTTTAGATGGTCCCTATGTCTTGATAACTCTTTTCCATTTGGATTAAACATGAAAATTATAAAGTTTCTCTTGCATGCTTCCTAGGTTTCGTGAGTTTTGAAGTGTCTTTTGCAGCTTAGCCCAGACTGTATAATACATCTCTTCATACAGCAGGCACACAGCAGTGTTATGTACAGTTTGCTGGGTTGTGAGAATTGTTATATGCAGAATGTTTTGAGGATTTACCATGATATCACCAGGGTCCACACTCCCATTTCTTTATTAATCATATCTCTTTGTAATTGTATATGAGGAATTATAGGTTTCCAGGCACAGAAGAAAAAAGAAAACAGAAATTCAAATGTTTTAAATTAAGGTATATTTAAAAATTTTTCCATGAACATAATTTGATTTTTTTTTGTCTTTAATTTGATGCAAGTATTATTTTTAAACCAAGCCAGGCTTAATGGGCCTTTCTTCTTGCTGACTACTTTAATGGAAACCACAAAAACATAGTAAGACTATGGGGCAAGGAGAGTCGGAAATTTTTTTTAATATGAAGAAATACTCTCAAAGAATAGCAAGCATATGCCATGAGTATTCTTGGTGATATAATTAGTGAACAATGGAAATAAAAATTGTTGGTGTCAAAGCTTCTGTCTGACAAAAGGTGATTGCAGGGCTACTTTCTTTAAAGCATCTCTCCCAGGGGCCATGGGTGTGGTTCCATGGTAAAAGGTGTGCTTAGCACCTGCAAGGCCTTGAGTTCCATTCCCAGGATTGAAAAAAAAAAATTCTTCTGAGGGAAGAATAAATTTTTGGAGGCTGAGTCATTATAGTTTCCGAGGAGTGCTGCGTTACTGGTTCCACCATTAACGGATGAGGGATAAAATGGGAGCTTTGTCTAAGTCCAGGCTTCTAATGAGTTGAGCGCATCATGACCAGGTTTAAGGTAACATTTTTAGAGTGTGAGAGCAACTTAAACTTTGCCCTACCTCAGTGATGTGAAAGCATTTATGATAGTGAATATTGCAGGTATTTTTCTTTCATCTCAGAGGCAAGAGGTCCCTGCGGCATTTTCATAGAGAATTCTGAATAATTTTTAAGGGAAGGCTGCTTAAGCCAACACCTGAATGATCACCATGTTTTTCTGTCTTAAGAAAAATCATCTTTTTAAAAAATATGAATGCACACATATAAGGTAGCATTTTTCCCCCAAAATCAGCTAGAAGAAATGTCAGGATTAGAAGAAAATCCAATGCGTTAACCTTTCTGATATTAATTTTGTGCTAAATGATGAGTAAGTACATTTAATTAAATGAATTAAAAATCATAATTTAAAACAACATAAAGGCACTAGTTCATATCACTTTTATTCTGGCTTTTTATAAGTGTCTTAAGTGTAGAAATCCCAGATTTGTACATTGAAATGATTTCATATTACAGGATATACATGGATCTTCCTGCTCTTGGCTCTTGGGCATATTTGGTAGTGTTAGCAGTGGCCTGGTATGGAAGCGGGGTGCTTTCTGTTTTGTTGACTGAAGGAAGAGCTACTTCAAGTCCACCTAATTACTTTGGTGGCAGATGGGATAAATACCAGCTGCAAAGCCCATGTTTTTAGGGATGGAGAGAGGCATTAACCGTTTCTGCTCCTGTGGCTTCCTTGGGCAAGAGGTTTTGTGAATTAGTCGAATTTTCGTGCCACATACAACCAAGAGGCAAGGTGTTAAACCATTCTGTGCTCTGCCTTATTTATAGCCATGACCCATTCTTTTTTCCCCCTCTTACAGTTAATAGAAAGATTCATGATTCTTCATGGTTGTCTATCTAGTGTCTGACAATCCTGACTGCCTGCTAAAGCAGGTCACTATCTATAATTGATATCCTTCCGTGGAATAGGGTGCTGGCTGCAATTGAAGGGCTTTGCTGAATGCTCTTAAATCCTGACAAGTTCTCCCCTTGTTCTGGTTCAGTCACTGAGCTACACGGTTGGAATTCTGGAGTTATTTGAACTTGGTGCAAAAGGGAGACATGTGTTTCACATTAGCAAATCACAGAGTTGAAGAGAATTAGGAACTTGTCTGACTTCGCCCGCCAGGTAGTTTCATTTCCAGTATAATGTGCTCCGTGGACTCTTGAAAACATTACCTCCTCCATTACTGTCTGAACAGATGGGCTAAATGTGATCTCTCCCTTCTTTTCCCCTTGATTTCAAACCTTTGCCCTGTTGCAGCAGGTCTTTGTTTTAGGCTTACTGCTGGGTTCTTTATCACTGGGATGTTCAATTACTTTCTCTCTTTTTAAATTTTATTTATTTATTTATTTATTTATTTATTTATTTATTTATTTGGTACCAGGGATCGAACTTGGGTCCTTGAGCTTGTGCAGCAGGCGGCGAAACCACTGAGCTAAATCCCCGGCCCTACTTTCTCTTTTTAGCAGTATAATTATTACTACTCTCAAGCTAGTGTTAAATTGGCCTTATATTTACTTTTAGGACCAGAAGCTAAGAAAGTAGATGTATATTTTTATTAACTGAGTTTTGTTGAGCTTTATTCCTGTCTTGGTGTCAGTTAAAACAGGATGGGATAAGAGAGCAAGAAGGGGTATATTGTGCAAAAATTAATTTTATGTACACAGTATTGGATTGACCAAGTTTATTATTGATTTGTCAAAATGCAACCATTTTCTCTTCCCCTGACCCCTGAAAGATGAACATTCTAATGTCTCAAAATAAGTTGAAAGTCCACATTTTTGCTTAATATCAAGTTAACCAGATTCTTTGTTGTGCTTTATGTTAATAAAGACATCAATGTTAAATTTAATGTGTTTCTGAAAGTTTCAAAGTTAGTATCAATTTCAGAGTGTGTTTGGCTTTGGTTTTGCTATTCTTCTATTTCACTTAACTTGTGTTACTATGTAAAGCAGCTCAGCCCGGCTTCTTGCATGGAGGAGAGGCACTTCCTGGCCTTGCTGAGGTCCATTTCTCTCTTGTTTTAATTTTGTCCAGTGTAAGTTCTATGTACGACTGTTTGAAGGTTGAGGAGTCTGAAATATTCATATCATGCTGCACAAGTTCATCTCAGGTTCTCTGAACCTTGCACACTTCAATTGTGAATGACATCTTGTCTCCACCAATGTTTTGTGAGGCTCTCTGGAATAAATGTGAAGAATGTGCAGCTCAGAGTAGAGTCACCACCACTGTGTGGTTGGTTATGCTTGAAAACATCACTGCTGAGATCTGAAGGAATAAAAACAATGAGATCACCATACCTTTTTTTCTCTTTTCCACCTGTTTGCTGTATCCTCACAACTCTTTGCCCTCAATTCCAAGCATTCCACCCTTTATTTCTGTTTAAGAAATAACACATATAAAAAATCTTCCCAGTGGTCTTTTAAACGTCAAATTACTTTTCAACAGTTTTATTCCCCAGCATGATCTCTTGCAGAATGGCTCTGTGGAGGGCCTGGCCAGTACACCGGGCAGTGTTGACTTCTCCCTATGGGGATGAACTGCACAGAATATGGAGTGTATTCCTCATAGTAGCACCCAGCTTCAACTGGGTGGCATTTCAGTCTTTGTAATCCCCCATTTGTATCTTTTAAGCATGGTGTCAAAAATTCTCCTTTTTGTGGAGTGATTAACCACCTACTTGGATTTTAAATGCTTTCATATGCTGCAAATTTTGATCTCTGAAAGCATGCTGAAGTTTCCTTTATCCAAAGAATACAGTTATAATCACCTTTCCTGCCTCTTAGAAACATTCTCTTCTATACATCAGCAGCATGAGAACGAAGGACTTTCTTTTTAATGTCATAGAGATTTAGATATAAAGAAAGCACATCTAATTTGTGAAGAATTGATGTATCCGTAGAAACACAAGAGAGTGAGGGTGTGAAGACATTATTTTCATATTAATACCATGATCTTAAATTTGCATTTTA